AGGGGCTAGGGAAGGGTAAGTGGAAGGAGGTGAGGGAGGAATGGGGTATGAGCCCCCGATGAGGAAGACTGGGCTGGCTCTGCAGGCTTCTGGGGGTGGAAGCTCTCCTGCAGCCCCCCAATTGCCCCCTCTCCCCAGATGGCAGCCTGCGACTGCTTTGCAAGCGGGGCACCCCTGAGAACTGTCTGTCCGGGGTGGGGGTCGGGTCCCTTTAAGCGCAGCCCTCGGCTAGCCTGAGACAGCATCTCCACGCTCTAAGTCCTCCTCTGATGCCCTGCTGGCACTGCTTCCGGCCATCCTTAAGCCCGGTTCAGGGTCCACTTAATGTGGACATGCTAGTTCGAATTAGCAAAACGCTAATTCGAACTAGTATTTAGTTCTAGACGCGTTAGTTCGAATTAGCGCTGTAGTGTAGACGTACCCTAAGGCAGTAATGGGCAACCTAGGCCAGTGAGTGACCACATGAGTGGCCCTCCTTCATCTCAGTGGGCCACAAGATTCTTGTAACCAAGCAGGGCTCCCAGGGGAGGGTAGTTTTGTTAACTCGACTTGCGTAGCTAGAATTTGCTGCCTGAAATGCCTCAGCGCTTTGGATGCAAATGGATCATACGGCTCTTTCCATCAATGTTGCATGCAATCAACACGCAACTCACTTCTCCATGCCCTTGCTTTATGTGCGTGGCGCTTTAGTACTACAGGTTGAACCTGTCCAGTTTGGCACGTTGGGATCTGACCAGTGGCGAACCAAAGAATTTGCTGAACCAGGAGAGGTCAATATTGTCTAGTGGTTGAACCTCTCTGGTCTGGCAACATTCGTGGTCCGGCATGATTTCAGTGCTGTTATTTAGCTCTAATTTATCCCCTATTGTCTTCTAAGCGCCCAGGAAGCAGTGAAAGTGTTGGTGATGCTGCTAGACACTGTTGACCTCCCGTGGTTCAGCAAATTCTCAAGTTAGAGCAAAAGAACATAAGAACGGTCATACTGGATCAGACCAACAGTCCATCTAGCCCAGAATCCTGTCTGTCGACAGAGGCCCCAGAGGAAGGGGACATGACAGCTAATCCTTATGTGATCCCTCTCCTGCCACCCATTTCCAGACAAACAGAGGCTAGGGACACCATTCCTACCCATCCTGGCTAATAGCCATTGATGGACTTAACCTCAAGTTCGGTACTGGTCAGGTCCCAAGGGTGCTGGTCTAGAGAGATTCAACACGTAGCAGTATTACCAACACTTCCACTGCTTTCTTAGCCCTTAGAACAGGGTTTTCCAACCTATGGGTCGGGACCCAAATATGGATCACCATTACATTTCAAAAGGGTTGCCAGGTGTCTCCCCAAGTGGCTCTGCTCTCCCTCCTCCCCCCATTTTTGAATTGCCTTGGGTCACCAAGTCTTCCTGAATTGTCAAAAATGGGTCCCCATGTAGAAAAGTTTGGGAACTGCTGCCTTAGAAAACATTTAGGGGTGAGTAGAGCTAAATAACAGCACAGAACACTGAGAGCCAGGACTGGTGACTGTTAACAAACTTTATGGGATCGCGGGAAACTTGGCCACACCCATGAGAAGTGGACATCGGCTCACTAAAATCATGCCAGACCACGGTTGTTGCCGGACCAGAGAGGTTCAACCTGTACCAGTAGGAAAATGTGGGAAAATGGCTGGAACCCAAAAGGCCACACATAGAAACTTGATGGGCCAGATGTTGCCATCAGACAACAGGTTGCCCACCATTGATGTAAGAGGAGTATTTATTTGCCTAGAATTAGGTATTTGGACAATTGTGCATGTGCATTTGCAGGCATGAGCGCTAACAATGCACTTTTTAAAAATTAAAACAGATAATTCTAACAATCACATGACTCCAGGAGCCAGGATGTTAAGTAAAAACACAGGCTCGCACTTCAATGGTGCAAGGTGGCCGGGCTGAGTGTCTTATAACTATTGAAGGTTGGGAGGAAATGCGGGTGGCTTCTGATCTCGCTGTGCAAATGCGCTGGTCCTTTCTTCGTTCTGAGGCAACCTGCTAAGGTGCTCAGCAGCCGCCATGGCATGTGAGCTGCCTGCAGACTTGGGGTCTTATATGATGGTGAAATCAAAGAGGCCTGTAATGGCTTCCTCTCTGTTCATATTTGGTAGGTAACCTCACCTTTGCAAGCAAATAGGCTAGAATAGTACTTTAAAAAAAATGAAATCAGAAAGTCTGTGGCAGTGGAGGGCACTTGCCCGGGAAAGCTGCCATTTCCCCATGGATGAGTGCACAAGCGGATTTGTCAAGCCTGGCAAATAGCCTAATTTACAATGAACTGATTGGCAATTAGCCAGACTAGCAATGTGGGTGATCTGGATGGGGTCAGATGGTGACTGTGAGCTTCCTACCGAAGATGGGCAAAAGGAAGGGACATCCTTTTGGGTTGGCATGGCAAACCACAAAACACCAAATTAGGACACCAGGTCTATTTGCGCTGAGTTAGAGATGGGCCGTACTTCAGAGATGGTATGGACCTCGCTATCTGCGTGTGCTGATTTGGGGGCTCTGAGACTCCAGGACATGGCTATACTGGGCCAAAGTGATCAATAGATATACTCTGGGACTGTTTTTCTTTCATTCTTCTTTGCATAAGCAGATTGTCCAGTTAAACATTCCATTAATGCAGTGTTTCCCAAATGAAACCCCGGGGGTTCACAAAGTGAAAATAAGGGTTCTGCGAGAAAATTCCATTACAATAACATTTTATGATTTAAAAAAAAAATTAATAATGTGATTTTTATTTTTAAATCTGTGCAATTAAACTAAATGTTGATCTCATGCCCTTGTTGAGCATTTCTTTATTATCCTTACTTCTTTGTGGTCTACTTTTTCAGCTCCATATTTTAGACTGTTATTAGCGGGGTCCACAACATTCTTTTGAGTTTAAAAGGTTTCCGTGGCCAAATACAATTGGGCAACACTGCGTTCATGTTTATCTTTATCCTCTCACTCAGCAGATTAAAACCTAATGTCCTTTTGCATCCTCCCGCCCTCTCCCCCCCAACATCTAGCAGGAAAGCGCTGGTCCCTTTGGATTTAGTCTTAAATTTCTCCATGTCAGGTAAGTAGAATAGTGTCCAATGCCATAAACATGTATGTCATTCTGTAACATACAGAAGATGATAATCAAGGTGTTGTGGGGGGAAATATGAAGGAAGAGCCCCTGCATGTTTTTTGAGGCTGGAACTAGCTCTTCAAAAAAAAGATGCGTATGCTGGTAAACTTTTTTTTTTAACTGAAAAAGACTTAACGAGGCCAGCCATTTTCATGGGCATGCTCGGGTGACAGCAAGACAAAGCATCTGTGGGTTCCCAGGCAAATAGCAGTGTCTGAGTGGTACAGCTGCTGTTACCATAAAAGAAAACAAACCCCGGGCCCTTTGTGCAAAGGGTTTTTCTTTGTAAAGTCTTGAATAAGTGCTTGCCTTTCAAGGGAGCAGAGAGAAAAATGGCTTCAAGGAGATTTTTCATAGACACTGAAAAGAAACTTTTTTTTTTTGTTCCCTCTGCAGACAAGACATTAGCAAGAAGTCGATTCAAGTGTTGGGCACTAGCCTTCATCCTGTTGGATCCTTATCTGTAGCTAATTTCCATTAGCTGCACTAGAGGTAAATCACTTTTATGCTGATTTTAAAATGGGGTCAAGTATTAGTGCCCTTTGCAGATGGCTAACTTATTACAATCATCTCTCTATTTACAGGCCTTGACATTACCTTGTAGCCAAAAAACACAGACCACCTGAAAGCACGTACGACGTGGTCTTTAGATTTAATGACTGCTAGAATTTCTTCATCTATTATACTTGAGAGTGTTGTGCATCTCTCCGTCCATCTGTCTGAGTGCAAGAACGCCTCCAAAATGGTAAGAAGGAGGGCCACCAAATTTGGTAGGCAGCTTCCTCTTATCGTAGCTTAAACCGAGGTCAAGGTGTGGTTGTGCCAAGACAATGGGATGTGTATGGACTGTGATTGTTTTGCATCAAATGGAAAGGGAGGACTGTGATAGCAGGGACAATTATATTCCTGAATGACCACAGGAGGGCAGCAAGTGCCCTAGCCTTGGGGAGCAGCTGTCAGCCAGGCAATGCAGATGGGACCCCGCCTCCCCGGACTGGCCTAGGGGAGCAGCAGCCAGCTGCCTGCACCCCCTTCCCTGGGCCCTGTACCCCCCCATGCCTCCCAGACCTTGAAAATCCCTATCCTGAGCCCCCACCCCCTACACCCTTCCACATCCCCAGCCCCTTGTCCTGAGCCCCCACATCTCCAAGCCCCTGCCTTGACGCCTTCACCCCCCACGCCGCCATTTCCCTGCCCTGAAGGACCCCAGCAACCTCCCGGTAAATCTTGTTGTATGTTAATATATGTTTGAACACAGAAATAATCTTGCATGCTATCACTATGGTATTTGGCTGTTTAGACGAAAATCCAGGGGAATGCATCTCAGGGGCCACTCCCTGATGTTCATTACCCAGATGGACGTCACTATGAATGGTGGCGTTGGGTGCTATCCTAAAGCCATGGGCAGCGTGGGGGAAGCTTGCTGTTCTGTAGAGAATCAACGGGCTTCAGTCTGCAGGGTTTCTAGTCTCGCCTGCGCCAGAGCCAAGTCCATGGAGCTGGAGCGGAAGCAATAAAGGTTTTTATGAATCTTGCTGACGAGCTCCGTGGTTTAGAAGCCGTGTGATGGATGCCAACTGCAGGGAGGGCTCCTCCTCTCACATTGGCCACTCTAATGCTGCCGGAGCTCACTGCTGGGCTATCCGCCCTGGCCCTGAGCACTTTGTCCAAAAGCCCCACTGACTCCAAGTCCAAATCTGAGCGGGAGTAGGTCAGCATTCAGGACCGGTCATGGAAGGTGCCAAGTACCTCCAGGACACACCGAGGCCAATGGAGTTAAAGCAAAGGCTGGCAAAGAGTGGAGGAAATGGTGAGCATTCTCCTCTGCATATTTCCATGCACTTTAATCATCCAGCGCCTCCCAGGAAGGTCCAAACTCAGTAGTCAGCTAGTCTGGATTTTAACCAGTGATTTACAATGGATGTGAAAGGTTTTATAGCCTATGCCATTTGCCCGAGTGATCTCCTCCCTCAGTATGAGGCTGGTGTCATGTAGATCGCTGCTTTCTCGGATGTGTTTTTACCAAGTCCTAACTGGTTTCTCGTATGTTTTCAAGCCGTTTTGTGGGTTTCTGGTCTAAATGTAAAAAAGTTTTACTGCCTAACAGTTGAGAAGAGATGAGATTTTTTTTTTTAACAGGCATACATATGCTGGTAAAAGCCTTAGAACTGACACAATTATACTGGTATAGAGACTTTATCCTAGGATAACTTATTTCACTTTATTTAACAGGAATAAGCCATGCTGGTATAAGCACCTTTTAACTGGTATTACTGTGTCTACTCTGCAGGAGTGTGAGCGGGTTGCTTCTGTCAGTTATGCTGGCAAAGATAAAAGAGTAAAACTTTTGAGCATAGACAAGGCCTGATACAAACAGCAGCAAGAGTCAGATGAAACTTGCCTTTCTAGTCCCATTGGGTGATCATTTTATTCCTTGAGACTAGTTGGTGCAGGTGCAAATTTAGTTGCTACACAGATTAATATAAATGCCTGCTTTCCCCAACAATATCATGCCTCAGAGAGTTCCGCAGGTGAAACGAATTTGCAGCTCTATATAAACAACCATTAAAACATTTTCACAGATGTATTCCCTTTTATGCACATTCAGTTTGAAGGTGGCCATCGGAGAAGGCTGGCACTTCCTTTTTGTCAGGTTTGCGAGTCTGCATTTGTTCAGAAAACTTTAATTTGAAAGTTTATCTAAAAATTAAATGCCCTTGGGGAACTAATCAGGCCAAATTACAGCCGCTAAATGAGCACAGCGCAGGGGGCGGCATGTGTAATACTTGCAGTCGCACCGACTGTGCTGAGTCTTCTGTAATCAATACGCTGTAGAACAAATGAGCTTTAAAAACACTCTCGCTTTTATTATTCTTATTACTAACAAGGAGGCCCTTGAAAATATCCATGAAAGGAGATGCTTATGCTCATAATTAATAAATGCTGGCTGGGTTTCTGCTGCCAAAGAGCAGCCCTGAGAAGTTTGATAGAGGATCTATCTTCATCCAGACAGCAGAGGGTGCTTGTGTGTGATGCAGATTAATAAGGCAGAATGGCAAAAATATTTTCATACAGCTAATGCAATTTCAGATCATCTCTTTTGTTCTCTAGCTTGGGAGTGCAGGGAAAGGCAGCACAAAGTCATGCTTTAGAAAATCGGAGGCAAGTGCCTGACCTCTTCAGAGCTGGGCCAAGCAGAATTCAGCTCTGAAATACCACACTACAGGGGCAGTGCCTCTTTTTGCCTCTGCTCTGCTAGGTCGTGATTCCCTCCCCCGCCCCCCCCCCCGGCCCCGTGGCCTGTGGGATGAAAAAGGAATTGCTGTCTTACATCTGAACAACAGCTCAGTTAAGGCTGGTGGCCTATGCCGGAGCTTTCTGCTAAGAAAACTTGGCAATCAGATTTGGAGAGAGGTCTGATCAGCTTGACAGATAAATCCATTTGCTTAATGGGCAATGCACAAGAATGAAGAGTGAAGCACATTTTTTTAAAAATCCCCCGACCCTATCTGGTTCTGTACTTGGCTACTGACCTTGTTATCAGGTTCAACAGCGGTCCTTTAGCCTTGTGCCTTTACTTAGCTTGCGTAATCATCTTGCAGAACCGAATGTTGCCTGGGCACGTATAGTTTTGGTTGTAAAGACAGGAATAAAATCACGTGAGGGTTGAGGTAGACGGACGGACGGCATCTTTAAGGAGCTGTGATTCCTCAAAACATACTGCTGTTGTTAGGAAGAAAGCTCCTTGGAATTCTTGGATATAACCATTTGGAAGATTATCACCTATGCTCGGCCTGTTCTTAAAACCCGACGCTTCCTGTTGGCATCCATACGTGGCTATGTAGCTCCGCAGAAACGTGATGTTGGAAAGACCCGTGGAGGGATTTCAGGGCCAGGCTTTGTGTGCCTGTGGAAGGACTGAAGGGAGCAAGTGAGGCAGCATGTTTTGAGGGGACTGGCTCCACTTAGAGAACAGACGTTTTGAGTTTCTGGGCTCTAGGATGAGAAGTGCCAGGATCATAGAATCCCAGGGCTGGAAGAGATCTCAGGCATCATCGAGTCCAGCCCCCTGCCCAAAGCAGGACCAACCCCAACTAAATCAGCCCAGCCAGGGCTTTGTCAAGCTGGAACTTGAAAACCTCTAGGGATGGAGATTCCACCACCTCCCTAGGGAACCCATTCCAGTGCTTCACCACCCTCCTAGGGAAATAGTTTTTCCTAATGTCCAATCTAGAGCTCCCCCACTGCAACGTGTGACCATTGCTCCTTGTTCTGCCATCCACCACTGCTGAGAACAGCCTCTCTCCATCCTCTTTGGAACCTCCCTTCAGGAAGTTGAAGGCTGCTCTCAAATCCCCCCCTCACTCTTCTCTTCTGCAGACTAAACAGACCCAAATCCCTCAGCCTCTCCTCGTAGGCCATGTGCTCCAGCCCCCTCATCATTTTGGTCACCCTCCACTGGACCCTCTCCAATGCGTCCACATCCTTTCTGTAGTTGGGGTCCCAGAACTGGCTGCAGCACTCCAGATGTAGCCTCATTAGTGCCGAATAAAGGGGAACAATCACTTCTCTGGAGCTGCTGGCTATGCTCCTCCTCATGCGCCCGGGGAGCAGGTCCTCCAGGGTCCAGTGGGAAGAGCGACACATCTCTGTGCCCAGATTGTACTTCTGCCTCATCATGGCACGATAGACCTGCTGCCACGCACCTCTTGCCTGCTTCCCGCTCTCTCAGCATTTCACTGCGTGCAGGACTTGTGTCTGCTCCAGCCCTTGGAGAGGGGAGAGCTCTGGAGGGAGATAATGAAAGGCAAGGAAGGTGGAAGCAGACTGATAGGGGAAATGGTCAGACCATTTGACTTACCATGGCACTCAGACCTTCATTATTTGATTGTGCCCACACCCTCCCTTCTGCCCCCAACATGCTGGAGAGACCATTCATCTCTCTGCCTTAGTGCGTGGCATTTGGAACGGGACGGCCTCCCACTGACATGCAGAAGCGATAGCTTCAGGGTATGCTGCTGGTTAAGAAGCAGAGCTGGGGGGGTATTTCCCAGCTGGGCCCCATGTTTGGACCCGCTACAATGTGAGAGAGACACTAAAGACGCTGCGGATGTAGCTAGAGAAAAACTGTCATTTCCAGCGTATTTGGGAAGAGGAACAACTTAACAGGCTCCCCGACCTTGCCAGTTCTGCCTGCTGGGTGTTTCTCCTTAGCCGTGAGGCTCCGGATGTGCTGAAAGGGAACAAATGCAAGTGTCCCTGTATTAGTGAGCGTTTCCCACCAGCAAGTGGCTAGGACCAGTTCTGTCCTGACTGCCTAAAGAGCGGAGGTGAGAGGGGGGGCCAAGTGGGGAAAAAGGACCGGTATTAATTCCTGCGATAGAAAAGGGGGGAGCCAGTGGAGGTCAAAGGTGGACTAAGAAAACGGTGTCTGTCCAGTAGCACTAGGATTCCCCAGCCTATCGCCTCATGCCCCCTGTGGTGGCCTCTTGTCGTGGAGTGTCCCAAATTTCAAGGCCATTCTTGCTTGAAATTCTTTCTTTTCGGACTCACCAAGGCGCGGGTGGGATGTGGCCTTATTAGCCCGATTCTCTGAACTGCTAGACAAGCATTTCGGTTTAATGAATAGTTAATTTGTACTGTCAGCACAGTCCAGTTGGGGATTTCCCTAGAGAAGGTGCTGCCGCTATGAGGGTCTTCTCCACTCCCATGTAGGCGGGATGGAGCGTTCCATCAGAGTCAATTTAGCTCTCCGGGACAAGGGCTGTTTAGGAAAGACGGTGAGTCGGAGAAAGCGGGAGATTCTTTCTTCAGCTAGAATTCAACTAAGAGAAGCCTTCTTCTCCACAGGAATGTCGCCAGTGGGCCTCTGCATCTCCAACACTGAATACAAAACAGCGGTTTGATAAGGTAATACCTTAGCTTGGCAGGAGAGGAAACCGTACTGGGCAAAATGAGCCCCAGCCAGAATCTCCCCTCCCAACGAACCTTTTTTACTGTGAGTTAGACAAAAATTAGGTTATTTGTAGAACACGTCAAGCTCTCGCCTCTGCCTATCTGGAGTCTGGTGAAGATTGGTACTGAAGAAACAAAATACCATAAGAGAAACTGTTGGATAGCACTGGGGCTCAAGCAGGTGTCATTTGGGATGAAGCAGACCCGGCTTTTGGGCAAGGCGAGCAAGGCGGTTGCCTTGGGTCCCATGCATTCAGGTCCCCGCACTGCCCGGCTCCCACTCACCCAGCTGCTCACTCGCTGCCCTGAGTGGGAGCCGCCTGGCCGTGCGGCTCAGCCAACCACAGCGTGCTGCTTTGGGCCCCACAAACTCTTTGAACAGGCCGGGGGCAAAGGGTGTGAAAACCATTGTCCAAGAGGTTGTGTTTTGGCTGTGGGTAGCTGCTGAGCCGTTTAGAAGATTAGACTATGTCCCAGCGCAATGTGTCCAGCAACGTCATTCTAGAATTTACATAGCGCCTGCCTCTCTAATTAGAAACCAGAAAATATCTTGACACCCTGTGTGTGTTCAATAAGTCTACACCTGGGCAGTGTCTATAGAAAACGTATCTAATAAATATGTATGCAGACATGGACCCTCACTTTGCTGTAAACAATTCCTACCCCTATCAGCAGCATGCAGCTTGGTCCTTTTTTATACACAGCTCAAACCTCACTCCGGCACAGGTTGTGCTAGAAAAAAAACACACCAAAAAAAAAAAAAAATCCAACCCATCAAAGAGCCATGCCTGCCTTTTTAAACCCATTGTTACTTCTCAGCCATAAATGTTTATGACAGGAGGAAAAGGAAGTAAATCGCATTTATATCACTTGTTTGCTTTATCAGGGAACTAATTTGACAGGAAGGGAGAATTTTGCTTATTTTACAACTCTGGCTTTGGCTGCGATTTGATTTTGGGAGCTGGGAGGTGAACACGAAATCTTATTTTTATTTCAGAGTCAGTGTAGAAATTTACATTTTGACAGCGACTGCCCCGTAGCATTTTAGTGCAGCGTTCGCAGCCCTCCAGGCATTTCATAAAACACATAACGGAACATATAATACACTCATAATTCACTAATGTTTGCTGAATGACAGGGTTAAGTGGCTGCTATTCCCGGCCTCCCACCACACTAATGTACTCCAGACCTGGGCTCCTTTTCTTCTGGATTGAAGTCAAATTGTTTCCCGCAGCCTGGATATGGCCGCGTCTTCCATGAAGAATAAACAGTCCTGCCTAAATTATTTTCATTTGTTTTTCTAATCTAATTTTTCCCTTGGTGCTTTACTAATCATCAATCCCATTAAAGGGCTGATGCGTTGACTGCTTTCCAGAGACAAGCCGATCCTACATCCAGCAGCGAGCTGACCTTCAGCATCAAAACCTCCTCGTTGAGCTCAGCTAGTTAGCAGTCTGAATTCTGACTGCCTTCCAAGAGGCCCAAATGCTTTTCTATTTCTCAACAGCCTGGTGCAGCTCATTACTAGAGTATCGGTACCTGCGCCTGGCAACAGGGCAGCCAAACTACCGGGCAGAAAAGGTATGGCCCTCCTTTGGCCATTCCTACGGGGCGACTGCAGGGAACAGAATCCTTCCTTTTTGATTCCCGGGCACTCTCTCATTGCAAGGATTTTACAAAACACTGGATCCGGGCTGAAACTAGGACTTAGATTCTGGGCTCAATGTAGATTTGGCGCAATCAGGGGAGCTGCCAGCCACACCGGGCTCCTAGACAAGGGGCATGTCTGGGGGGTTCCATACTCTGGGAAGGGGCAAGGCTGAGGTTTGAGGCTGCTTGGCGCATACTGCACAGTGCTCCACCAGCAATTTAAAGGGCCCAGGGCTTTGGCTGCTGTCAGTACTGCAACCCCAGCCGCAGCCGGGAGCCGTGTGCCATTTAGAATCACTAGGCCCCAGGGTAACTGCCCCCTTGGCTCAGCGGCAGGCCTAGTCACTAGAATTACTTTAGTTTGATGTTCATGTAACAAACTTCCATGGCTTCCTGGTCTGCAGATCAGTGCTGGGGTGTGGAGGACAAGTACTGCTAATAATTGGGTAGTTCCTTTGAGCTGCATGAGGCCCTAAGCAATTGCTTAGCCTGCTTCTGCCTAGCCCCAGCTCCGCCTCTGATACTGTGGTGCTAAGGGACCTTGAACAACCCCCTAGTGACTTATCTACACAAAACTGTATTAAAAGAACATTGTTTAAAAAAAACCCCTCAAACAAGCAACCATTAAAAAGTGCTAGAATTAAGGCTGCCCCATCAACCTTAACTCCCCCTCCCCCCCCATCGATATATCTTATGGTACAGGCTTTGCTGACATGGTCAGATACTACTTTTTTCTATTGTTCACAAGGGGGAGGTAGAGCTGCCGAGGCCCCCTCATTATGCCGTGCTGGTAGGCGCCCGGTCTAAGTAAGTGCTATATCCGTCCCAGTGCTTTGGTTGCTGCTCTGTGTGGAAGCTACTGCCATCTTGGCTCAAGCTTCATGAATATTTAGGGGAATTCGTTGGCGCTGCTCCACTTCAACTGCACAAATAAAACCTCCACTGGTGGAATGTATTAGCTGCCCGCAGGGTGTGAAGCCAGACAATATCTGGTGCTAATGAAAAAAATAAACAGCACACATGTGTAGATTACGTCAGAGCAACGCTGACCATCTTGGTAACATATGTCAGCCGCTACCCTGACTTAGTACAGTCAGCGAAATGACAAGATGACATCACCAGTTAATTTTTTTAGGGAGTATGCGGTGTGGGTAAAACTTTCTCTATCGAGAGCCGTCATGCCGTCACCGGAGCAGTCTTTGGCCATGGCAAGACTGGTATTGTATAAGAGGAGCCAATAAAAAGAACTGGGGTGTAAAAGTGTTTTGCCACATTATTCTGATAGGGTTACAACCGCATAAGTAACCCTTAATTGTTTTTATAGCGTAAAGCTTCAGAAAGGCCCTCAGAAATTGCACTAGGCTAGTGACTATACAAATGGGCTTCACAATTGCACTGAAAGTTGCATGGGAGCAAAAAACACACTATTGGTATTATATCAATAGATTTGCAGCGGAGATGGTACAGACTAATTACTCTGTGGCTGCATCTAGACTGGCAAGTTTTGCCACAAAAGCAGCTGCTTTTGCGGAAAAATTTGCCAGCTGTCTACACTGGCAGCTTGAATTTCCGCAAGAACACTGACGTCCTACTGTCTGAAATCAGTGCTTCTTGCGGAAATACGATGCTGCTTCCGTTCGGGCAAAAGTCCTTTTGCACAAAAGGGCCAGTGTAGACAGCTGGCAAATTTTTCCGCAAAAGCAGCTGCTTTTGCGGAAAAGCGTCCGTGCCAATCTAGACGCTCTTTTCTGCAAATGCTTTTAACGGAAAACTTTTTCGTTAAAAGCATTTCCGGAAAATCATGCCATCTAGACGTAGCCAGCCTGTGTGTTCAATGCCGCTCAACTATGGGGTCTTAGTGCATGGGTGAGGCTCCTACATACTAATACAAATAATTAATAGGAGGGATTATTTTTTCCTTCTCAAAGCAGCGGCATGTGATTTTTTCAGATACAGGTTGAACCTTTCTAATCCAGCACCCTGGGGACCTAGCACAGTGTTTCTCAGCCCCCCCCCTTTTTTTTTATAAAGTACCCTTTAAAAAAAATTATAAGTAGCCCCACTACCTACAGGTTTTAGACACACAACCTTTTTTTTTTACCAGGGCAACACATTTGTTTAAACAACTTAATCGTAGCTGGGCGGGTGATGAAATTTTTGGATGTAAAAAGTACAAAAATAATAAAGCGCTGTAAAACGTAAAACAAAAATTCAGTTTTCTCCACAGATTTCTCTCAAGGACCCCTAAGGGTACTCGTACACTGGTTGAGAAACACTGGGCTAGCAGCATTACCAACACTTTCACTGCTTCCTGGGAACTAAGACAATATTTAGAGGTAAATTGGCGCTAAATAATAGCACAGCACACTGAGAGCCATGACTGGTCACTGTAAACAAACTTTATGGGACTGTGGGAAACTTGGTCACACCCACCAGTGGCCATCCAGCTAACTAAAATCATGCTGGACCATGGGATGTTGCCAGACCAGAGCGGCTTGACTAGAGAGATTCAATGTGTAGTTCAAAAGTTTTGGAAGCTTTGATTTCCATAGTTAAGCAATATTATAAGGGTTCAAGACTGCACTGTGGCCTGGGGCTGCAATATAGTTTTTCCAGCTTGCAGCAGTTGCAGTGTGTATAAGATGGCCTGGCCCATGTAGGTGCCTTTGTGAAACAGTTTCTTTTCACTTAGTAACTTGAAAAGAACGAAGTAGTTTGCAATGGCTCTCCTGTGCCCCAGTGTGAATTAGGCCTTGTCGGTACAGCACAGTGCACTGATTTACCTAACCTCGGCTAGTTAAAAAAAAGGACCTCCCCCACCCGATATAGCGACACCTCATTTTTTATCTTGCATCGCTTTGTTACAAATCTAACCTTAACCCTGGGTTAAACCAGTTCGTTTTCAGGGTCTCCATCTTAGCTGTTTGCAATTTTCAACTGGCTTGAGTTAATGTGGCGCACTTTTAGAAAGGTTTGCCTATAGCTAATGGGCTATGACACAGCATAACAGTGCAGGTATCTTCATGACGCGGCTATGCAATCCATCACATTGGTTGCCTCTAATCCAGGGGGATGTGTTTAAAAATCAATTCTTTTGTGTATTTCTGATATAACATATTCTAGCATCTTGTTTTCTTCATTGTATTGGAAAGTCTGAAAGAATACCTATGCAATTGCCGTGTGTCACTTTCTACCACTGTCCTTTATTGTTCTGTTGAGCTTGGCAGTGCCCCTTCTATTAGGTGCACCATTCAGCTGATGACACTGGATGTCACCAGTTGCACTGATGTTCACGTTTTAGAGCACTGGTGTCCAACACGCTAGCCGCTTGTGGCTATTTGGCTGGTTGAGTGCGGCTAGTTGGTTCACAAAATTATTTACATTTTCAGAATAATGTGGCTAGTTCGCTAGTGCAGTAGCTATTATAGTGGCTACTGCTTCAGACCTGGTTGGACACCATGGTTTTAGAGCAGGGCTACTGAACTTTAGAAGCCCCGGGGGGGAAGGGGGAGGGGACAATCACAGCACATGCCGAGGGCTGCAACTTAAGTGTGGTTGCCTATACATGGAAATATATACAAATAGCTTCTTTCACCCTGACAGGCATGAATACAAAGCACTTCCCACAACGCTCCAGCACCTCCTCTCGGGGGGCCAGAAATGCCGACACCCTGTTCCAGCCAGCCCATCTGCTTGCATTTTTCCATGCTCACCCCGCCTAGGAGATGCCTTGCCCATGGGCAGTGTGTTCCCCATGTTCAAAGAATCCCACCCGCGGCTCGCGTGTTGAGCCCCATGTAAACCCAAACTGTGTCGTGGGCTGCAAACCGCATGGCGCCTGTGGGCCTCATGTTGACTAGTCCTGTTTCAGAGAATCACGAGCAGTGGTGAAACGCAGTGGAAAAGTTCTGCTTTTTTCATTCGTGACCAGCGGAGCTGGAAAAATTTTTGTTGAGGGGGGAAAAAAAAAGCTGGGAACATTTAGTTAATTTAAAGCGCTGGTCTGCTCCCCTGCCACTCCTCCCACCCCCGCTGTGTGTACATCGGGCGCTGAGCTGGAAAAATGCTGGCCAACCCGGATCAAAGTGCTGTGACCCCCCACGATGATGACCGCAACCCCCTGGAGGGTCACGACCCACAGGTTGCACACCGCTGCTATATTGGATACTCAGGGTTTTTTTAATGACCTTTTCTTTAGCTCCAGCACAGAATTCACAGCATTGTGCCTTGTAATGTCTTGAATTTCCCATCCCAGTCTCTGTGGCTCATTTACATTAGAAAAATTAGATGTTACTGATGAGCAATGGGTTCAGTTTGCCTGTTTCTCTGTGATAGAGAGCAGGCCAAAAACCAGTTCAGAAAATGCTGGTTAAACTGTGCTTACAGCAAGTCTGTCGTGGTCTTCTGAAAAAAATGCAGCACACTTTTTATTCTGGGCTACAGGAAAGCGCACTCAGCTGATTTGGGGCAGTCACATTTACCAGTACCACATAATTTTTTCTAGCATAGAGTAGGCCCGAAGGATGATATTGACCATTTAGCTGCAGATTTACCACGTCTGCTTCCACAGCGTTGACACCAATTGTGCTCCATGCATTGGGCACTGAGACCAGCCTACTGCTGTTGGCTGGCACATCTCAGGCTAGTCAACATCTTTCACTAGCCCGAGGCAATTTGTGTTAGTCAGATCTCAGTTAGCAGTGCGGCTCTGTGACAGCACATTGGGCAGGCCAGGCAAGGCAACAGTGCTAGGTGTCTGTTACATCATAATTTGTTCTTACCGTTGTACAAGAACTACTCAGGTAGGGAATGACAATTTCTCCCTGAGCTTGTGCTGTCACTGCTGCTGTGACTTGAAAGGAACAACCAGGGAGTGCATTTGTAACGTCAGCGCTCTAACATCCTTGAAAAACGTAACTTGGCTTTGTTACGTGTCCTTCACTTTTCTGGGCCCCACACACTTTTTTTGCTAGACTTTGCCATCCAAATCTGCCCTTCCCACTCATCCGCTGTGCCGGCTACAGCTGTACTTGTAGATATTCTCCTTCCTCCTCCAGCATCTCAGCCTCGACATGCGCTTTCTGTAGCGTGTGGATTCAGTGGGCCGACCCCATCAGGTGCGCTCTTTTGTATTATTTCATAGGATCTGACTAGAGGCTTTCTGGTAGGGAGACTGTGGATTAGTTGGTGGATCTGGTATGTCACTTGATCAGTTCCTGGTTTCTACATGTGCCGGCCGGGCTGTTCCTACCCATGCACAAAACACGCAGCTGTGTAGGGCACCATGAAATTTGGGGCATCAAATTGGCAGCCCACCGTCCCCATCGTCTCCCTTGCACAGGCTCAGTGCCAGGGCTTTGGCAGCCCCCAGTTACCCCTCAGGGGCTCTAGCGGCCCCACCTGAGCACTAAGTCCAGCGGCCTCCATCCCATCCCCATCGCCTGGTGGTGAGTGGTGCTCTTGGGGCTGGAGGACCCAGATCATGAGACAGCCATGCAGCAGGTGGCTGGGGAGAAGCGGTGCTGTCCCCTGAAAAGCACCACGTCTCTCTA